CCTAAGTTTCTAAATTTAGTGTATTAGGGGTATTTTGGTCCAAAAAATGAATTTTTGAGAAAATGTACAAGAAAAATTGAAAAAGTCCATTTTATGTCCAGTTGATGAGTGGTGAAATTATATTTTTAAAATTCATTTTAGTTTGGGAGTAACTAAATAAAAAGTCAATACTTTCTTAAGTGTCTTAGTTTAACCTAGTTTTTGATTTGTCTTTGTGTAAAAATTTTTATATAATTTTGTGTAGTCTGAAACTTGATTATTTTAATTAATTATCCCTTCTAATTATGAATTTAATTCTATCTATTAATTAGATTTTATTATATCACATGCTATTTAATTGAATTATGTGATTTATGTGACATAGGTGGCATGTGAATTGTGCATCAATTAGGCAATTGAGGTCAACACTCCTTGAGGTCAATGGCTGATCATTTGCACGTGAATTATGATTATTTTGAGGGATTAAATCAGCTTAAATGATATGGATGAAACATGAAAAATTAGGCACATATTGAAATAATCTACAAACTAAAAGGAGGGTGCCACCTGGCAAGTGTGACAAGGCTTCCATTTTTTTTTATTTCCTTTTCTCATTTTTCAATTGAGTATTCAGCTAATGGGAAACACTTAGGAGCACGTTCGTTCAGCCCTAATTCAGATCTAACACTCATCTCATTTGTCTCCTACATTTTCTCTCTCTTGTTAATAGTGTTTTTCATTTTCTCTCTTTTGTTCTTCATTTTTCAGCACCCTAACCTCCATTTCCAGCCATTAAAACTCCACAAAACTCACACCATTCTTCTCCTCTCTTCATTTTTGTTCTATCCCTTCCTATTTCACAAGGTTCTAAGCTCATTTTCTTCATCCCAAGTTCCATGAATTTTGGTCAACAAGCTTCCAACTTAGGGTTTTTGAAGATGATGAAGATTGACTAAGTTTCTTGGTGGAATCCTAGAGAGATGAAGATGGAGGATGAGTTTTGAGCTTCAAATTGGCTGAGTTCTTTTGTTTCCTATTCTCTTCTCTTTTTACTAGATGGTTAGATTTCTTAATCTAAAGTTTAATCATCTTAGCTTATAAATTTAATTTAAATTTAATGTTGATGTAAAGAGAGAGGATTGTTTCATTTAATTTCTTCCTTGGACAGCCGTGACTAAATTTTGCCACTCTTTGTTTGGCATATAATCTTGTGTTTTTCAATTAGTGAATTACTTGTGTTAATATTGCATCATCTTGTGGTGTTAATGCTTGTATTGTTAAGTAGCTTGACATAATCTTATGGTTACTCACATTGTTATTTTGACTGTGGCTATTGAGAGGAGATTGAGTGAATCACTTGGCTAATTTCTTCACCAATTGGTTAATTGAAATAGGGATTTTAATTTAAGACCTAAGGAAGTTAACTAATTAGATTAATTGACTTAGGATAATTTTCTTAAGTCATAACAGCTTTAGTCAAGAGGAAAGGGAAGCTAAACTTAGTCTAATCATGAGAAGATAATGAGTCCAAAATCAACTAATCTCTAGGGTTCCACTATTGTGAAAAGGGAAGTGCATTTCACTCACTTTATTTAGCATTTTAATTACTTACATATTAGGTAATTAATTTAGATAATTAGCTAGGTAAGTAAATTCCTACAACTTTGAGTGACTTATTCCACTAGATAACTTTTAATTAGACTTAAAATATTTCCTTGGGAGATGAACTAGGGTTGGCTCTATATTACATTAGGGCTATCTTTAGTTTAATTTTGAGGATAAGCGACTAATTCCTATCACTTGCCCAAACCATCTCAAATGATTTTTTATCATTTTTTTCCTCAATAAGTGCTACCCAACTTTTTCACGTACATTCTCATTTAAATTTTATCATTACGTGTATATCCACACATCCATCGTAACATTCTTATCTCTGCAACTCCAACCGTATGCTCTTACTGTCCCATTAGAGCCCAACTTTCACTACCATATAATATAGCCGGTCTGATAACAATACAATAAAACTTTCCTTTAAGTTTATTAGGCACCTTACGGTCGCAAATAACTTTTTTAGCTTTTCTCCAATTAAACTACCCAGCTTGAATCCTATGTGAAATATCTCCACTGATTTCACCATCATTTTGGATAATGGCTCCCAAATATCTAAACTTTTTCACTTGAGATATAATTTGATCTCCCAATTTTACTTCCAAATTATTATCGACTAGTCTCTTACTAAATTTACAATATAAATATTCCATCTTACCCCTACTCAAATGGAAACCTTTTAACTCCAATATCCTCATCCATAATTCAAGTTTATAATTAATCTCTTCTCTTGTCTTTGCTATAAGAACTATATCATCCGTGAAGAGCATACATTTGAGAATTTTTCCTTGAATATGTTCCGTCAAAATATTTAGGACCAAGTTAAACAGATAAGGACTCAAAAATGATCTCTGATGTAGTCCAATCTTTATAGGAAAGTCCTTTATTTGACCATTAAATGTTCTCATACTAGTTTTTACCCCCTCATACATATCTTGTATAACTTTAATATAAACAATCCATACTCCCTTCTTTTCCAAGGCTTTCCAAAGCATTTCTCTTGATATACGGTCATAAGCATTTTTCAAATTAATAAAAATCATGTATAAATCTTTATCTTTGCAACGATACTTTTTCATTAATCTCCTTAGTAGATAAATCACCTCTGTGGTCGATCTACCTGGCATAAAACCAAACTGATTCTTAGAAATACTTGTCTCCAATCTCAACCTATGCTCAATTACTTTCTCCCACAATTTTATTGTATGGCTCATGAGTTTAATCCCTCTATAGTTAGTACAATTCTAAATATCCCCTTTATTTTTATAAATAGAAATTAATGTACTTCTCCTCCAGTCGTCAGGCATTTTCTTGGCCATAAATTCACATTAAATAACTTAGTTAACCATCTCACCCATTCTTTACCTAAACATTCACACACTTCAGTAGATATACAATTAGGTCCGTTGGCTCTACCATTTGTCATTTTTTTAAGAACTTCCTTTACCTCCTTATTACGTATTATTCGATAGAATGACAAATTTTTTTTCTCCTTCCCAAGTTACTAAATCCTCCAAGTTACTAAACAAACCCTCTCCATCATTGAAAAGTTTGGAAAAGTAAATCTTCTATCTATTTTTAATTTCATCATCAGTAACTAAAATTATTCCCTCTTCATCCTTTATACACCTTATCTATTCTAGATCTCTTGATTTTCTTTTCCTACTCTTAACAATCTTATAAATGTTTCGTTCTCCTTCCTTTGTCTCAAGGCTCTTATAAAATTCTTTAAAAGTTTTAGAACAAGCTTCACTCACAGCTCTCTTAGTTTTCTTTTTAGCCATACAATATCTTTCTCAATTTTCCTCATTGTTACACAAATGTATGGCTTTAAAACAGTTCTTCTTATGTTTGAATTTATCCTATACACTATTATTCCACCACCAAGACTCCTTATCTCTCAGACCAAGATCTTTTGATTCTCCCAAAACTACTTTTATAACCTCTCTTATCTTTTTAGCCATATCTTCCCACAAAATGTTAGCACTTCCTTGAGATTCTGAAATTCCTTTGTTCAAAAGATTCTGCTTGAAAATATCCTGCTTCTCACCTATTAATTGTCACCATCTAATCCTTGGTATTACTACTTGTTGACATTTTTGAGTTTTACTCATAATACACATATCAAGGACAAAGACTCTATGTTGTGTCGTTACAACATCCCCAAGAATTACTTTGCAATTTTTACAGAGTCTTTTATTCGTGTTCCTAACCAAAACAAAATCAATTTGTGACCTTGAGGCTCCACTTTTGTAAGTAATAAGATGCTCATCTCTCTTCTTGAAACAAATGTTGGCAATTTTAAAATCATACAGTAACAAAAAATCAAGAAGAGTTTGTCTTTCATTGTTTAGCTCTCCAAAACCAAAACTACCATGCACCCTCGCATATTGACTAGCCTCCCTCCCGACATGCCCATTAAAGTCTCCTCTAATAAAAATCTTTTCACTCTATGGTATGTGTTGAATCAACCCTTCCAAGTCCTCCCAAAATTATTCCTTAAGACTGGCTTTTGTCTCGACTTGAGGTACATAAGCACTAACAATATTAACAATCTCACATTCAACTATCACTTTTAAGAAAATAATTATATCTTCAATTATGCTAACTTCTACAACATTCTTCTTCCACTCCATATCAATAATGATGCCCACTCCATTGCATGCCTACTTTTCTTATAGTACCACTTCTCCTCCATGCCATTTTGTTTCTTGCAGGTATAGGATATTGATTTTCCTTTCAATCATAACCCCTACAACCTCTACAAATTTACAATTCAATGTCCTAACATTTCAAGTACCAAATCTAATCGTGCTCTCATGAACTAACTTCTTTAGCTGCGCACGTCCAAACTGATGCGGTAACCCTTATTCATTTAACACTACATCAAGGCGCCAACACTAGCATTAACATTATAACATATATTGTCCATGTTCATGATAGATTCAACAAAGTTTTGCATTAGCTGTTAATGACCTAACACAACCCTCCTCCTTTACTCAAGCTTAGGACCGACTATAAACATGGTTGTTGATGATACTATAATTTTAATAATGACAAATTTATTTCTTGACGAACAAGATGAATGTTATCCTTTTCTTACATGATAGTTGATAAGAGAAGATATTGATACTCTAATTATTAGTGAGACTGGCAGTGGGCAATTGGATATAAATGGAATAAAAATACAATTAATAATTATGTTTTGCTTCATATTACAATAAAGAACAAGCTATTTTTTGAATTGAAATGATATATTTAATGTTTTCTATGATTTTTTAAAAATATACATGCACGTATTGAAAACATATCGCACCTTATATTTTAAAAAATGTAAGTATCAACAAATTGGATACAATAAATCATAGTAAAAAGCTCGTCGGTGACGTCCAAATCAAACTGGAGACAAAAAGTGAGGGGAAAAAAAGGTCCACTTGATAGCCTGGATGAACACAATGCTCAGCTAAGGACACTAGTCCTTCGACAATTAAGAATGATAACACACATTTATTGCACAACATAAATAAAATGAATGTATGTACAAAATTCAAAACCTGCCTCTATGAGGAATAAGATTTTGACCCTCCCCATATAGTATACATTATAGTCTACTTCCTCCAGCTTTTTGCACAAGTAATTGCCACAAATGCTCCTTAGATTGCAGTGTGTTACCGGTTTAGTAGACAATAACCAACGATCAAGCCATAAGCTGCTTACCTCTACAATCACTATTATTCTACTCTATTCGTACATGCCAGAATTGCTGACTTCATCTCTTCTTTATCCAAAGATGTTTGAACCATCACCTGTGCAAGATGTTTCGTTTTGTTTTCGAGTTAAAAGACACTATGTCATTTTTCACCCAAAAAGAAAAATATATGTGATATGAATAATAAATATGTAACATTCTACTGAATATATATAAATATGGAACAGCGTGCCTTCATTTAGTAACTGTGAGTTCATGCTGCTTTAAAAGAAAGGGAAAAAAACAAGGTATAGGAAAATGTAACAGATCATTGAACCAATAAAGGTGAAAGTTCAATAGCAAATCTGGTTGAATCGAAATCAAACAAGTCATAATTAAAATAATATAATTAATTTAAAATAAACAAAAATATTCATGGTAACCCTAAAAAGAATAATTTTAAATTAAAAAAAAAACATTAACCCATAGATAAATGGAGCATTCATGTATAAACTATACATAACCCAATAGAATGGAGTTACCAAAGCACAAATATGACAGACCGCTATTTTTTTCTTTGTTTTTTTAAAACACAACCATGTCATTTTAGGCTCAAGCCAGGAGGGAAAAAAATATAAAACTAACCCACTCGAGCTGTCCAGAATCTTAAGTGGATCAACTAGGGGATTGGTTCACTGGTTTATTAGTCTGACCGGCCACGCTAGATTGGGTTTTAATACTATGGAAAAAAGAAACCACAAGAAGGGTATAGCTTGAAGTTTATACCACATTTCAAGAATAATAGAACATATAAATGACCACTCTTACAATAAAGTCAGAAAGGAAGTCTTGTCATGATTGATACAACAATAAAGTGTGGAAATTTCAGAGGCCAGACATTTCTAGACAGTGATAAAGAGTTCTAATAGGACACGGTGTAGAATGAAAGAACATGCAAGTTCTTTGGAACGGATAAGATAAAACTGAGGAAAATAACGAGGGATTTGCCATGTGACAGTTCAACATTTAGGAGCAAATAAACAATCTACGAGAAAAAAGCCAACAAATGTGGGCAAAAAATAATCTAGCAAGAGAGACGATATTACTCAATTTGACAAGAGCAAATCTCTTCACCAGAGGAACAAAAACAGAATCTACATCCCCCTCATATCACCCCAAAAAAAAAGAGAGAGAATCTACAACATTTAATTTAACTTATCAGCATATAAACCTGTACTGATTCTCACCTCTTGTATTCTATTTCCAGACCGAGCAAGCAACTTGTATTGATTCTCAAACATGGAAGCCATATAAACCTGGAGAAATATTAAAATTTTAAAAAATGATTAAAAAAAAGTAATAAAAGAGGTGGTAATGGCCCCAAAAAATGCGGCCTGATGAGACCAGTACTTTTAAGGGCCATTTTTATAAGAAGAGGCCTGCCAAAACTAACACTGAAACCCAAGATGCCAATGAGGACCAGGTGAAGCCCGGGCTAATAATACTGGAGAGAACAGTGACCAGGTGGTTATCTAGGGTTGTGTACCCCAGAAACGGTAGGCATTCAGACAGTGGGGGAGAACTCCTGACCTCTCGAACATCAAGGAAGAATTAATGTTTCTATGTTATTTCCTTTGGTTGCACTAAGATCATTTTCACTGAATTTTCTTCCTAGTTAGTTACTCTATCACTGTTTACTCTTCCTTTTCCCATAGAAGAGGTTGTAACTAGCTATTTTATTGAAGTAATACAGTAAATTTCCCAAGTTCCACCAATTGGTATTAGTGCAGGTCAGTCCTGTGGATGGTGAGTACGAGAATGGAGGCTAGGCTGGAAAACTTAGAAACGACTGTGGATGAATTACAATACGTTGGAAGGTCCGTCACTAAGTTACAAAGGGCCAATACTGAGACAAGGGAGGAAAGAGCAGCAATGCAGTGGGTGATGACTCGGCTGCAGGAGCAGAATGACAATATTCTAACTCTGCTCTGACGGGTTTACCCAAGGGAGGACCAGAGTGATATGGTCAATGTTTTCAGAACCGGACCGGACATTGAACCGGAAAAGTCAGCGGTTCACGGTTCGCATGGTTCAACCGATTGGACCAATGGTCAAACCGGTGACGTAATAATTAAATTAAAAAAAAATTATATATGTATATAATAATTTAAATAACAGAAATACATATGAAATTGCTATTTAACTTAAAAAAATTAAATATTTTAAGTTTATCACGACTTAACAAGCCATATGATACAATATAATATCAAATGATTTAAAAAATTAGTCATTTTTTAAAATTTGATAAAAAATAAAAAAAAAGTTTTTTTTGAACAGTCAGGTTTTTGAAAACCGGATCCGGTTCCCGGTCCGACCGCCGGTTCGAAACGGCTCAAACCAGCTCAACTCTTAAAACGGTTTTTTCCTTTGAACCAGACCGGTCGACGGTCCGACCGGTCCAACCAGCCAATCCGGTCCGGTTTTCAAAACAGTGGATATGGTAGAAGAGTGGCTTGTGACAATAGAAACAAAGATTCTTTGACCGAAGATCATCAATCTCCTCTCGGTTTAATTTCTCTAAGATTTTCGAATTAGGGTTTGAAGAAGAAGAACTAGCTGTCAACAAAACAAAAGAAGCAGATCCGATTGCCAATGAAAAAGAATGATATTCAGATGAAAGATTAGTCTTACCCTTAATAAAACGAAACCCATTACCTCCAACTGCTGTTTCCACCTCCCTTCCCTTTGTCGATGAGTGCGAAACACTAGGAGGAGAGCCAAGAAAACCATACCAACACGATCTATCTGTTTTATTCTCGTTGAGCATGTTAAATTCTTTGCCTGACTTCTGAATGTGAATTTCCTGTAAACAAGCCAGGCTGACAGCATTTTGTACTGTAATGGGCTTTAATAACCTAATAGGCCCAGCAACCTTTTCTCATAACCTAATAGGTCAAGCTTGCAGACAATTTCACCGAACAGGTCATCGTAGTCGACCAAAGTCCCTATTTGTCACAGATGCATCAAATCAGCCATAGGCGCTTCATAGGTGGGTCTGAATCTCTTCTTTATTGCTTATGAATATTCTTCCCAGCCCATCGCATGTCCTCTTCCCACGCATTCTAAGACTTGATGGCATTGGAAGGCTTTTTTATCAGGATGGATGCTGGCCATGTGGTATTTTGAGAGAGGAAATATGCGTTTCTCATTCATGTGTTTTCAAATTGATCCTATACATATCAAGGGAGATAAAACCTAATAAATGATAAGAATGACATAATATTCCCACACTCCCCCTCAAGTTGGATCATAAATGTTAATCATATCCAACTTTCTTATACAACCCCCAAAGGCAAGCTTAGGTAGTCCCTCATTCAGCACATTTGCAGCTTGTAACTCTATAGGTAGGTACGTCAAACATACAATGCCTCCTCTACTTTCTCTCTGATAACACGTCTATCTACTCCAACATGTTTAGATCTCTTATGTTGTACAGGATTCAATTTGTTATCACAATACAGCTTCATTAGTGGATCAATTCTGACTTGTATTTCTTCCATGACCCTTCTTATCCATAGTTCTTTCCTTGAGCTAATGCTCTCAATTATGATTAATCACTACTTCTAGATACAACTCTTTGCTTTTGACTTTTCCAAGTTACTAGTTTTCCCTACACAAACTAGTAATAACCAGAGGTGGATCTCTTGTCTTCATAGGTCCCTCCCAATCTACATCTGTATAGATCTTAACTGTCCTTTGATCATGTTTCTTGAATAGCAATCCCTTACAAAGTGTACCTTTAAGGTATTTAAGAATCCTGTACATAGCTTCCAAGTGATTCTTCCTTAGATCACACATCTATTGACTTGCTATGCTAATAGCAAAAGCAATATCTGGCCTTGTATAAGATAGATAAATAAGCTTCCCAACCAATCTCTGATATCTATCTTTATCAACAATTTCTTCTTTTTCCTTCTCTGCTTCTTCAACCTCATTATCAAAGTTGTCTTCTCCTTTTGACTCCTCCGTACTGTTTTTCTCAAACTACTTCTTTCTTCAGACCACAATAGGAGTTTCCTTAGGTTGACAGCCTAACATGCCAATTTCCTTGAGAAGATCAAATACATATTTCCTTTGAGATACATATATACCTCATTTTGACCTTGCAACTTCCACTCCAAGAAAATATTTCAAGTTCCCGGGATCCTTGACCTCAAATTCCTTACCAAGGACAGCCTTTATCCTTGCTATTGTTTCAACATGATCTCCTATAAGAATTATATCATCTACATACACAATGAGGATGCACTTCTTAGCTCCCTCAGCCTTAACAAACATCGTATGATATGATTTGATAACCCTTCTTTGTAGCCTTATGACTTCAAAACCTTTGAGAACCTATCAAACGATGCTCTAGTTGACTATTTCAAGCCATATAGTGATTTCTTCAGCCAGCATACTTTGTCACTTCTACCTCTTTCAAACCCCGAAGGTAGAGTCATGTAGACTTCTTTTTTTCAATTCTCCATTTAGAAAGGTGTCAATATGCTAATATCCTTGCAATAAATATCAATTATATAGTGTAAATACATGTTTATTTAGTCAGAATGGTTATTTCCTTTTTCCTTCCTTGTATCTCGGCCTATCCTTGATTTAAGGCCAAATTTGTGTCTTTATACCTGTATATATTCCCTTGAAAGGGTTTAGTGTGAATAGAATAAAAATTTTCCTCAAATATCTTCATGGTATCAGAGCAATAGGAGGGAGAATTTGATTCTTCTTCGGATACTGAGTCGAAGATGAGTCCTCAACCAGGGCAAAGCAAGTCGCAGTCAACAACGCTGCTGGCAATAGAGGATTCCACCGCTGCTGGCGATAGAGGATTCCGCCGCAAATGGGTCCACACGAGTCGTCTCTTCTGGGCTCGAGACTTTCGCGATTCTGATCATACCAGAGAAGCTGAATGGCGAGAACTATCGTGAGTAGGCATAGTCAATGACACTTGCTCTCAAAGGTCGCGACAAACTAGGTTTCATCTCAGGTGAATCTCCTACTCCTCCAACGTCCGACGTCAAGGCTCAGAAGAAGTGGAAATCTGAAAATGCTCGTCTCTTCATGGCTCATAAATGCCATGATTGCAACCATCAAAAAGAGCTTCATGTTTCTTTCTACTGCCCAAGCTATTTAGAAAGCTGTTAGTGAAGCCTGCAGTGATGGTGAAAATGTCTCTCAGGTATTTGAGATAAAATAGAAACCTTTACTCTCTATCCAGAATGGTCAAAGTTTGGGCGAGTATCATCTTGAAAAAACCTCTCTTTAGCAAGAAATGGACTTAATGAGTGATGATACATGGTGCTGCCCTACTGGCACTGCCAAATCCCAGAAAAAATTACAAAAGGAGCGTTTATTTGAGTTACTTGTAGGTTTGGATGCTGTGTTTGATGATGCTAGAGGCCGAATTTTGAGCGCAGAACCTCTTCCATCTATCCGAGAAGCATTTGCTATATTAAGAAGGGAAGAATCCCAGAGAAAAGTCATGCTGAAAGGAGACTCTACAGCACAATCTACATTGCCTGAATCGTCTTCCGCACTTGCTGTACGTTCAAATAAGCAAAAGAATAATAAGGGACGCCCTACTTGCGATCATTGCAGCAAGGTAGGACACACTAAAGATACTTGCTAGGACTTATATGGCAAACCCCCTGATTGGAAACCTCGGAAAAGCAGAGGTCATGGATATATAGCTGAAGCTGCCAAGGAATCTAGCATGTCTTCACAAGATGATCCTCTCAACAAAATTTTGGAATTGCTTGTTGCCATGAAAAGCGACAAACAACCAATTGCAACTATGGTCAAACAAGGTAATTTTTCTCAAGCACTATCTACTGTCAAAGGTAAGTGCTCAGGGGACTGTTGGATTATAGATTCAGGTGCATCTGATCATATGACTGATAATATTACACTCTTTACGACATACGTCTCATGCAAGAAAAATCTTGCTGTTACAATTGCTGATATTCTAATTGTTTGGTGGCTGGTATTGGCGACGTTTGTATTTCTGCTACCTTAACTTTTACATAATATTCTTCACATTCCAAAGCTAAAGTATAGTTTACTATATGTTAGCCAATTGGCAAAATACACATGTTGCCATGTTAACCTTTTTGCAAACCATTGCTTATTTCAGGATCTGTCAACGGGGACGACGATTGGCAGTGCTAGAGAGTTTGATGGGCTTTACTACCTGGATGAAAGTGATGTTAAGAGTATTGGAACTTGTAATAAAGTGTCCCTCCTTAGGTCTAGTGAGTTGGAA